CTCTCTCTCTCTCACACACACACACACACACACACACACACACACACACACACACACACGCACACACACACACACACGCACACGCACACACACACAGACACAATAGTTCACGATATCATATTCAACTTTGATGACTTCTTCGCATTTATCTGGCCGTACACGAAGTCAAAGTATTATACGGAAAATACAAAGTACTAATGTCACCCGCGTCCTAAGGCCTATCCTCAGCAATCACCTCGTCATTATTTTCAAAAATTTCCAAAATTCTATAATCGCTCTTCATTTGAACGACCCTATCTTTCATGTTCGTCCCGCCATAAGATTGTTGTTCCCATATATTCCTAGAACTTTGCTCAACGGTTTTATCTCGATTGAGAAAAATTACATTTATAGTCATCTTTTCGATGTCAGTCTTGCACGTTGTCGTAATGACTTCTTCTGTCCTGCGCATTTTCTTCTTGTTGCTGTCGTGTGCAGACCGACTTTTGTTGTTGATGTGACAATCTAACACCGAATGAGCTGATGCGAGTTGTTGAAGGGTGCAACCATTTCGACCAACTTCATTGTAATCTATGTATAACACGTCTCGAACGTAGTTCTTGAACTCCGTTGCGGCCCACGGCTCTTTGCATCTTACTCTCCATGATGAATCTTCTATCATTTGCGTCCTCATCTCCTCTCGCTCTCTCTCAAAGCGATCTCTAACAGTTCTGCATGGATAAGGCAACCCTGTTGCGCTCCAAAACGCCCGAACGATATCGAAAGCGGTCACTCCTCTGATGTTCGGTAATTCTCTTGATCCCTGTATGTGAAGTGTTGTCGTTGTTGTGCTCTTCATTGATCGATCCACGATCTGCCGTGTATCCGGGTCCAAAAATGTGATCAGACCCATGCAAGCATCCACATATGTCTCGACTGACGGATACATCTCTGTATCTTTGGCTCGAGATAAACAAAACATCTTTGCTACGCAATGCATCAATTGCTTCACTATTTTAGAGTGCGCATATAATGTGCGAATGTTCTCAATAATACGGTTGTTGACCTCGCCTTTTTTGTTCGCATATAGTATTTCGCGTCCTCACATAACTACACACACAAATTCCAACAATGTCATACAAAAAACAAATAAGTACACAATTATAGAGACGATGACCCTTTGATCACTAGTAAAGAACGTACAAATTACATGTCAAAACGTAGATAGGAAAACCATTTTGAAGTTGTTGTTGTCTTAACTATCACATTTTTATAATGCTACAAACAACTTCACAATATTTCGCAAATTGTTATACCTATGGCTTTCTAGTTCGTGAAGAATGCATCATTCTCTTCACCGCCTTCATGATTGTCTTCATTATCATCATCCTCTTCTTCATTCAATTCACGTTCACCAAGGTTGTCTGTCTCTGTTGTTCTCGTCCTCCGATTCGTCCTCTTCCATATTTGGTGGTCTTTGCTTCTCCTGCTTGTCCTCACACTCTGTCGATGACGCTTGCCGTTCTTCTTTATCCACATGGCGCTCCCTGTATTGGTTATCACGACCTCCTATCTGGCCGCCTTCACTTCTCTTGGCCGCCTTGTGACCACAATGCATTCTCGTTTTTGTGCACTATACACATCAGACGCCGTAAAGGTGGTTATGCTCCTTTCATGTTTGCCCCCGCAAAAGTGTTGAGAGCATGACCACCGTCACGACACCTCTCTCTCTTTCTGTGTGTGTGTGTGTGTGTGTGTGTGTGTGTGTGTGTGTGTGTGTGTGCACGTGTGTGTGTGTGTACGAGTGTATGTGCGTGTGTGTCATTAAGAGAAGGAATACACGTCGTAAAGATCGTCATGCTCCCTTCCCGTTCGCCACCGCAAATGTAT